GTTGCCTTCCTGAAGTCCTAGGTACCAAAAGGCTAACCGCAGCTCATCCCACGCCACCACCTCACTTAGCAGCATTGACATAAAAGTACTGTGGATTGTATTTTAGGCCAGGGGATTTACCCGGCAGATACATATTGTGTACAGTATGGAAATCTCCCCACCCTCACATCCTGCCCTAGCTCACAATGCCCTCTCAGGTGGCATATTCATTGAAAAGGCTATATATAGCCACTGCTTGCCCTGGTTTTCAAAATAATAGGTGGGGAGCAAAGGTTATTGACTTGAAACCTCTTCCCATGGTAAATATGTAGATTTCAACCACCTATAATCTTGCATGTCTACATATACTCAGTATATCATATACAGTGTTTTCACTTACGTGTCTCTTCAATCTTAAGCCAATTAAAAATATGTGGAAAATTATGCTTAGAATTGTGGCTTTGGCACTTTTTCTTGCAAAACAATTGCTGTTGGTTTCAATATTGTGATGGGTGTTATTAGGTTCACCACTCATTCAATTCATTCACTATTACCCTATCATATATTTAATTGCGTTCCTGTTTTGTCCTCCTTCCTATGGTGTGTTCTACTGGATTGTAAGCTTTTCTGAAATTAGGGTCCTAGCTTACACATGCTTCAATATCTTCCTTGTTAAGAAAGATGACCCAAAACGTGTAAATAAAAAATTGTAAAGCAGGCACCATGTACTTTCAGTGCCATATTCAAGCATTGCGTGACAGGCCAGCCCAAGGATTGTTTAACTATCTAAGAGATGGAAGAGAGACAACGGAATTAGATATGTAAGTTAAGACTAAAGTATTGCTCCCTATTATTTTTAACAGCTTTACTGAGATACATGCCACATACCATAAAATTCATCTACTGAAAGTAGTTCAGTGTTTGTTAGTATATTCAGAGTTTATAACTATCACAATGTAATTTTAGAACATTTTCAGTATGCTAAGAAGACTGTCTATTATTGATTAAATTCTCAGACTCTGTGAAGTTCTGTAATAACTTACAGATTTTTGTTTAGAAGAGATGCAAATGATTTCAGTCTAGTAAAAATGATAACCCAAAAGGTTAAGATTCTATTGCTCTGTAGACATGTAACCAGTTTTGTATCTAACCTGACAATATTCACCTGACTTCCTTTTCCCAATGTCAATGTCTGTTCCTCTGATTTTCCTTCAAACCAGCTTTACCCTCATGCTGGTTGCCTCATTGATGGATTCATTAAATCTTTGCCAAGTTTTCATTCTATATTTGTATGAAAATTATGCTTAAAAATTTTTGAGACTCACTTTGTGATAACCCAAATGCTTTTAGCACGACAATGGGTAATCGAACGGCCAATAAGTAAATAGATCTTAACTCAATGATCTTCATTTTTTTGATAGGGGATATGTCAGATTTTAAAGATTGGGAGGAGACAATTAAATTTTGAAAAGTATTAAAGAAAAATAAAAAATAAATTTTGAGGGGTGCCTGGATGGCTCATCTCACGGTTGAGTGATCTCCTGATCATGAGATCGAGCCCTATGTCAGGCTCCAATCTGGGCATGAAGCCTTCTTAAGATTCTCTCTCTCCCTCTCCTTCTGCTCCTCTTGCCTTTTCTCTGTCTCTTTCTCTTTCTCTATCAAAAGAGAAAAATAAATACACTTTGCATGAGATTTTTGCTAAAGAGAGTTAACTTTGAATGAAGTTATTTACTTACTTCTTTTCTAGACCAAGGTCTGAATCAATGAATATTCTAAGAATAGAGCTTTACTGGCATAACATCTTTTTTAAGTTTATTTATTTTGAGAGAGAGACAGATTGAGCTAGTGAGGGAGGGGCAGAGAGAGAGAGAAAGAGAGAGAATCCCAAGCAGGCTCTGCGCTGACAGTGTGGAATCTCACAAACCTGTGAAATCATGGCCTGAGCGGAAACCAAGAATTGGATGCTTAACTGACTCAGCCACCCAAGTGCCCCTGACATAACATTTTTATAAATTTATAAATCTTAAAATATTATTTCTTTAAAAATCTTAAAACGTTAAGATTAATATTAATCTTAATATGTTAAGATATAAATCTTAACATATTAAGTAGTATGCACAATGAAACAGAATCCAACAGGCATAGAAGAGAGTGCCCGGAAGCACTAAGTCCCCATCCCACTATTTCCCTCAGCCATCAAGGAACCCCTAGGTTATTCCTGTTACGAGTTTCTTGCACATCTTTGCACACACACACAAGCACATACACATTTAACAGTTTTTTATTCAAAAATATATGGCAAAGCACACACTCTATTTTGTAACTTATTTTCCCTTGCTAATATTTATTGAAAATTGTTCAACACCAGTATACATAATAGCTGCCTCAACCAAAACATGTCTCACAGCCACTCGCTTTTCACTACTTACACTGCTACCACTCACCTCTTACACATCATCGTCTCTTACAGGAGCCACTGAGTCTCCACTTCTGTCGCCCGGTACCCCTACAATCTCTTATGTTAATTATTTTTAAGTGTTTACTTATTTTTGAGAGAGAGAGACAGAGCACAAGCTCTGGAGGGACGGAGAGAGAGGGAGACACAGAATCAGAAGCACGCTGCAGGCTCTGAGCTGTCAGCACAGAGCCCAACGTGGGGCTCGAACCAACAGACTATGGCATCATGACCTGAGCCAAAGTTGGACGCTTAACTGACTAAGCCACCCAGGTGCCCCTACAATCTATTTACAACATGGTGGCAAGAATGATCCTCTGTGTATGTAAGTCCAATCATCTCCCAAAGACAAAGACCTCACAATGTTTTACAAAGTCTGTCCCACACAATCTGTTCCCCTACCAACACCACAGCTGCCTCTCGGCCTCATCTTCAACCACTTTCCCTCATCCCACCCTTGTCACTGTAACCAACTTATACTCTAATGCACCAGTGATACTCCTACCTCAGAATCTTGTCCCTTGCTCTTCCTTCTGACTGAGAGGCTACTCCCCTACAGGTCTGCTTAGCTTCCTCCTTGACCTCCTTTTGGTTTTGCTCAAATATCGCTTCTCATTGAGCTTTTGTTGACCACCATCTCCAGCTCCCCCTTCCTTGCACATACTCCCATCCCATGTGCCTACTTTATCTTTCTCCATAACACTTATCATCAGTGGACATACCATATATTTGACTCATTTACTGTCTTTATACAAACTCTGAGAGCAAGGGTATTTGTCTATGTTGTCCACTGCTGCACTCCTAGCAGGGCCTGGCACAAAGTAGGTACTTAATAATATTAACTAAATGAATGTGGACTTCCACGTGCTTTGGATCTCTTGTGACCTTGATGAAGCTCTTTTAACTTCTCTTAGCCTTGATTTTACTCCTTTATAAAACATGGAGAGTAGTTGTACCTACAATTTATGGATCTATTGTGAGGATTAAAGATTTAAAAGAATGTGAAGTGGTTAGGAACATACCTGGCTTGTAAGTTCTTAATAATATGATTTATGATTTCTCTCCCTATTAATCATTCATTGGAAATAAACTTGTGAGAACATATGGTTGAGTATAATATAGAAAAGCCCAATTTCTTATTTTTAAACCTGATATTGTCAACTTTTAGTGATTGTCTCCTTAGAATAGAAGCCACTTTGTTCTTTTTTTTTTTTTTTTTTTTTTTTGGAGAAGTCATTTCACATCTAGAAGAAAACAGTTTAGCTCTTTGGAGGTAAAGACCTTTATCTTTGCAGTTCCATTTTCAAGTTGGTCCCCAAATTCATACTTGCTCAATTCTGTTGAATAAACAAATAGAGGAATTAATCTCAATGACCACAAGGAAATAAACATTTATTGAAAGGCAACAGTGTATCAGGGACTGTGGTAGTCACGAGGGATATAAAGAACATTTTGGGGTTGAAATTTATTTCAAGACCTCCACATGGTAATGGGTGATTCTGGATGGTATATTTTAATTTTAAAAGTAGTCTTCTAACTGGGGGAGGGAAATTTGGATTCATCACCTATACAAAGTTAAAAAAAAGAAAAAACAAAAAAGAAAGAAAACCTCTAAAAAGGCATCTTTGCCATAATTTCTCTGAAGAGCTTTTCAAAGAAATGAAGCATCAGTGGTTTATCAGGTAGACATCAAGAGCGAAGCAGCAGACATACCAGTGCGGGAAATCCTATGGTGATTCAAGACCTCTATGAATTCCCGTGGTTCCCAGTAAGTCCCCACGCAGATTGCTAACCGTGAATGATTCCATATTTGGTGCAGAATGAGCGTCTAATGGTGAGCCATGCTGCTCGAGGCAGAGATAAAGTCCTGACTTGAGTCACAAGACCTGGGATGGAATCCAGCCCTGCATTCTGACGCAGAGCAAGATAATCCTGAGCCTTAGTTCATCACTGCAAAACAGTGGTTTTCAAATGTCACCTCCTTTATATGAGAAAATGGGTGAGAAAAGCCTTTGTACCCTGGAAACCACCGTGCAGCTGGAACCCTGGTCCTAACAGGTAACAGTAGCCCCTTTGACTATTTATTCAGCAACTACCTCTGAGTGCCGGTCAGCGGTGTGCTGCACGCTGGGGGCATGCAGAATGGCAGTCCCAACGGGGTCTCTGCCTTAGCAAGCACACAGTCCACTTCCAGGATTTTGTCCCCAGGGCATAATGTAGCAGATATATAATAATACTTGTAGGAAGATGATCTTTATAGGAATATGTGTAATAACAATGAAACTGAAAACAACCCAGATATTTACAAAAACAGAATGGTTTCATAAATTGTGCATCCCCACATTTTGATTAGAAAGATTATCCAGCCTACCCACATCTACACCCTGGTAGGGTCAGCCTTTCTCCTAGGGAGGCGGTGATTAGTTTAGGGGGGAGGGAGACTGGTGACCCTGTGCCAAGGGGGTGGCTGCTTGGAGGCTGGGACAAAGGGGTGTGTGATGAGAACAGGTCACAAAGGACTGCGGAGGACAAATGCGGTGGTGGGAGGAGATTTAGGCAGAGCCCTGTAGGGAGATGGGCATTTGCCTTCACTCCCTCTCTCTCTCAAGGACTCGATTTGTGGCTGGTGGAGCTGTCTCAAATGAAGAGAACGGTGAGCAGCGAGGGTTTGTTACCTTATTACACAGCCCACAGCTACCGCTCAATGGGTGTGTTCAATACCTCCATGGGGGAACTGCAGCGACAACTGTACAAGGGAGGAGAGTATGACATTTTCAAATATGCACCTATGTTCGAAAGTGACTTTATCCAGATCAGCAAAAAAGGAGAGGTGATTGATGTACACAACCGTGTCCGAATGGTGACTGTGGGCATCGCATCCACCAGCCCCATCCTCCCACTACCTGATGTCATGCTACTGGCACGACCGACAAAAGTCTGTGAGGAGCATGCCAGACACACCCGGACCACCAAGGGGAGATGTCGCAAGCCCACGAAGACCCTAGAGCTCACCAGGCTGCTTCCCTTAAAGTTTGTCAAGATCTCCGTTCACGATCGCGAGAAACAGCAGCTGCGCCTAAAGCTGGCTACGGGCCGCACTTTCTATCTGCAGCTGTGTCCCTCTTCAGATGCACGAGAAGACCTCTTTTCCTACTGGGAAAAACTTGTCTATCTCCTCAGACCACCAGTGGATAGCTGCAGCAGTACTCCAACACTGCAGGCTGGGGACCCAGTGCCCTTAGAGGATGACAAAAGCCTAGTGGTAAGCATCAATGGAGACTCGAGCAAATGAGGCAGGGGGCTTTGGCAGAGCACCTCACAGCTAGTCCCACAAAACCTGTGGTGCTCTCTGAGGCTCACCTGGGACATGCGTTCCACTTGAATAGGCTCAGGGTCAAATGAGCTACCACTACGGGACTTACCACACTGGGGAGGTTCAGAGCGTGTCTCAGAGTTGTCCCACGGGGCTGAATTTCAGAGAGACCTTAGCTAACGGCTGATCTGGTCTCACACTCAGGGTTGTTATTTCCTTCCACAGCATCCTGATTGTCTAATCTCTTCTTGAACACTTATTCCAACCCAGTTAGACTCATCAGCTGTGGAACACTGTTAACAATTAGGAAGTCTTTCCTTCTGTATCCCTGTGACTACCACATGCTGATTAAAATCAGGACAACCCATGTGTGTCTGCACATGCACAGTTTTAGCAGCCAGCACAATGGAAAATGTGTGGATCCCTTGGCCTAGGCAACCCTACGTCTAGGAGTCTGTCCCACAGAGATATAAACACATGTATATAATATAAAAATACATGAGGATGGGGAACTGTATGAGTGCTTCCCGTGGTGCTGGGAGCATTAAGCAAAACCAAGTGACCATTTGACAGGGGTGATGTAGGTGGGATCTCGCATCAAGTGGGAGCATAGACTTGATGATTTTGAAGGTCCTTCTAGTTATAAGCACTTGGGTTGTAGTTCAGCTCCAGGTTGAGAAAGAAGCAGACAGTTGTAGTCTCACTATGTCATCTCTCTCTTACCTGTTTCTCCTCCCCTTGACACAGACCCCAGAGCTCCATGGAGAAGGGGATCAGGATGCGTGTAGGCTTCACAAGCCTCGTGAGGTGTCTAGAGCAAGCTCTTCTGGTTACACTGGGGGAGAGGGAGTCCATCATGCCCACCGCGGAATGCCTGGCTCACCTGAAGTCCCGAAGGCTTCAGGGACTGCCGACGGAGCAGCATCCAGGTCAGCCGCAGGTGTGGCAGTAGTGGGGACAGGAACAAGCGCTACAACAGGCTTGGCAGTGGCAGGGGCAGGAATGAGGCCTTCCTCCGGTGCTCTGAGCATATCAGCAACCAAGGCTGTAGATCCAGGCCAGGTAAGCACAGTGGCCTTGGCTGGAGCCACCGCCGAATGCCCAGGAGAAAGTGGATCCAGCAAGGCCATTGCAGGGGTTGTCAATATATCCTCAGAAGGTACGAACGTGGCCTTGGGCTCTGCAAGCACGTCCTCAGTAGGTAATTCCACTGTAATGACAGGAGCTGCCAGTCTCTCCCCAGGAAGCAGCATGAGTGTGGTGTTTGCAGGTGCATCAGTGACTGGCACACCCGTTGCAGAAAGAGCTGGGGGCCCAGGAGCAGCACCCCTCGTCTCAACCTTGCAGAGCGAAGGCTACATGTGTGAACGGGATGGAAGCCAGAAGGTCTCCCCACCCAGTGCTGAAATCCAGAAGGGAAAAAAAGAAAGACGAGAAAAGAAAGACAGAACTTCCAGTAGGAAAAGTTCCCGTCACCACAGGACAGGAGGGAAAAAGTCGACGCAGAAATCATCCTCCCACCGGTCCCTATCGGGCCATGACAAAAGAGATGACAGAAAGGAGAAAGGGCAGAGCCATGTAAGAAAGAAAGGGCACCACTCTCACAAGAGTGGCAGCCACAGCTCCACGGCAAAGGAGTCAAGGACAGCTCACAAATTGGGGAAGATCAAATCTGCAAACAGTTCAGGTACTGTAAGTAAGAAATCCAGTAAAATTAGCTCTTTCTTCAAGAACTTGAAAGTCATTCCTGGCTCAAGAGCAGCAGCCACAACACATCATAGGGAGTTAGACTTCATGGCTAAGACCCTAGAGAAGCATAACATAGAGACCAAGATAGAGAAAACCCAGGATGCCCAGGAGGAGATCTGTAGTACCCTGACATCTGAGACATTGGAGACAATAATCTTTGAAGCTAAATCGATTTAAATAGGAGACCAGACAGGAAGCTGCAATGGAGACCCAGCCTCAGGGAAGTATCCCTAGAGTCAATTCCAGCTTTCTCTAATAAAGGAAATAATACAACTCCAAAAGAAATGCTATCTTGTTTGAATGTCTATATCCCCTTGCCTGGTAGTGACCTCACATTGGCTTCTGTGATGTGAACTATGCTGCAGCCTGAGGCCCCAGCATCCAGTCAAACAGAACCTCACCTCCCACCCATGACCAGCAGAGCCAAAATGAGTGTCATGCTTTGCCTCAACCCCTTTCTGCCTTTGGTTTCCCCAAGACTATGGCTACAAGTCATAGATAATGGGTTGGAAAGCATCACCACTACCATATCCTTATGCTCTTCTTTCTCTTCCCCAAAGGTAACTGAATATGGACATTTAGTCCAGTCCATAGACTAAAGATAAAACTCCTGTCCCCTTGGGATAATTGAGAGGTAAAGGGGGTGTAGCAGCATTTGTAGGCAATCAGAATGAGAAGTTTATCATCTAGATTAGGAATTGGAAGCCTGAGGGCCAAATCTTACCAACTGCCTGGTTTTATAAATAAAGTTTTGGGGGTTTTTTGTATTCAGATTTTTTAAACTATAATTTATTGTCAAATTGGTTTCCATACAACACCCAGTGCTCATCCCAACGAGTGCCATCCTTAATGCCCATCACCCCCTTTCCCCTCTTCCCCACCCCCATCAACCCTCAGTTTGTTCTCAGTTTTTAAGAGTCTCTTGTGGTTTGCCTCCCTCCCTAAGAACTAATAGAATAATTTAAAATGCTGTGTATGAATGAACTGTGTAAATTACACATGCATGTGGAAAATAATTCCCAAAGTAAAAAATCATCTTACATTAGAAGTGAGATTATAAATTTAAAAAATGCCTATTGTAAAAAAATTACATAGTCTTTTCAATTTAAAAAAAGTTATAAATAATTTTCACAAACCAACGTAAATCGTTAAATTGTTAATGATAAAAGTTGGGTTTGAGAAAAATGATTCTGAGAATCCTATATATTGGTGTAAGTCTGGAGGTCATCCACTCGGCCTTTGCATTCTCCTGTCTAACAATCGTGTCTATTAGGATGGAAGCTGGGTTTTCAGTAAAACTTGGGGATATTGTCTCCAATGTATGTAGAACAAATGTGTGTGGCAGAGGTGGGGGAGATGAGAAACAAGGTACTTCAGCAGGAGTGGTGGCTTGAGGGTATCAGGGGAAGTCCTCCTCAGTTGCTGTGATGGGTGGCTGGAAAATCCTCCCTTGTGATTTCTGATATACAAAGACCAATAGATGCTAGGGATTAAGGAATTCTTGGCATTGACTCTTGAAGCAGTGGGTACAAGTAGAAGGAGAAAAAGAGGCATGTCCTCAAAGAGGCTTTGGAGAAGCCTCCTGGGAATGTGAGAGGGTCTGGGGTATAGGAGAGACAGAGATAAAGGGGAACTCATTGCAAAGCCTGGCACTCAGAGTCCACATTTATGCTATGCCAGAGGCTCAATTATCATAGACACAGATGCCTTAATCTCGTGATTCTGTGGACCATGGCTTTATCTTTTGTCCTTCTCTTAGTCTAGTTCTATAAGCCTGCATTCCTACTCATACAACTCCGAGGGCCTTCTTAATATAAACTACATCTGTCTACCATGCAGGGTGTTAGCTGAGCCAACCCATGATTTACACAAATGCCACCAAAGTAAAGTAGAGGCTGGGACTTGCACACCACAACGTGCTCTGCCAGGCACTTTCTCCCCATTTCCTTTTCTATCTTGACAGTTCATCAAAAGACTCATGCATAAATACTTACGTATTTCAAAGCAACAGGCCTCTTCCTCCTGAGGGAGATATCAATTGGGGAATCAAGTCAATACACCGTACATGATAAAACCAGTATTTTTGATAGCAATACTCATCACCATGGCAATTCTGCTGCTGCAAGTGCGATGAAGCAGTGGATGGTTGGTTACTAACTAGCATCCTAAATTAAAAGTCTGGTACATACACATACATACGAAAGATGGGAAAGGGATATTTGGCCAACAGCAAAATAAGGTCATCCATGTGGTTGTTGTGATCCAATGGAGTCTTCCAGACAGAAGTTGTGCTACAGTCTCAAAATATTGAAGACAGTGTCATGGCTGGCAGGGTGAAAGTGGTAAGAGAGATGCTAGAGAGCACAGTGGGAACGGGCCATGCAATGCTTTGAGGTCATGTGAAGGATTTTAACTTCTGACCTTAGAGTAATGGCCAGCCACTGAAATGTTTTAAATAAGGGATTGGCTTCATCAAATTTGCACTTTGTAAAGGGCCTTGTGGTTGCTATAAAGAGAAATATTTGGGGGACAAGGTTGTTGATGATATGTGACGACCTGTTACTTCCTATCTTTTGCCACAGGATCCATAAAATGAAGAGGTTGGAGGGGATGTTTTGAAAGGTACATTTCCATTTGAAATATCCACCTGGGGTAGTCATTCCTTCAGTGAAGGACTTGTAACACCTCCGCCCCTCCCTCTTCTGCTGACAGTGCTATGTGGACAGCCTTCAGTGACAGTGAGTCTGGAAATTGTCTCTGCTTCAGAGAACTCCCTCACCCAAGGTAACACTTTCCAGAGCACACAGGAAAAATCGATTAGTGTGGAGTGTGAAGATCTGGCCATTTTATCCCAACACAGACCAACTCATGGGCTATCCTAGCTCAAGAGCTCCCCATGGAGCCTGCATAGGAGCTTGGCTTCACCCTAAGTGCACTCCTGCTTCCCTCCTTTTCTTCCACAGGTGCTGATTTTAGGGGCAGTCCTTACCATCCCTCTCACAAAATGCCATCTCAAAATCTGCTTCTTGGAGAATAGCCTGTGACACTGTGTTAGGGTAATGTGTTGTGATCACCTTCCCAGACTCCACGAACCTTGTGGTTGGTGATAGCCAATAAGGGTACATTGCACTATACATGGCTTTGAATTTAAATAATTTAAAAATGAAATACACTTCCTTGTTGCAAAATTGTTTCTATTTTAGAAATTTTAGAACATGTAGATATGAAAAAGAAGGAAACATCCCATCAATTGCCTTGATAATTCATTGCTTAGTAAAAAATGGACCAGTTAGACTTCTGCTTCCAGAAAGATGGAGTAGACATATTTTACCCTATTCCTTTCACTGGAAATGAAGATTCTGAAGACTCTGAAAACTCTGAAATGTGGGAAGAAGAAGACAGATCAGCCAAGGACTGCAGGAAATGAGATACAACATGGTGGTGAGTTCCCCGGGTTTCTTTTTGCCTTATACATTCCAGGCCTGGAGCTGCAGAAGAAGCTGGTAATCCTGAACAAAAGTCCCAACAAAACCTTTTATTTCTCTAGTCAAAAGACCAGGAAAAGTGCAGCCAAGAAGGAAAGATTTTAGACAAGAACTACTCAGCTGCACATCACAGAATAAACCATGCTCCCTGACCCCCCACGACCCATGCAAACAAGGGTCAAGTGGGGAGTCTAGAGTAACATCCTCATGAGGCTGCAACAAGGTGTCCGAATATTCCCACTGGGTGGTGTCAGAGAATGGCAAGTCAGGAGCTAGGGCTTTTATCCACCAGCTGGTAAAGAAGCTCATCCCCACTCATTCCCCTATCACTGAAGACCATGTAGGGAGCTGGAAATCTAACTTTGCCAGAAAGTAAAGAGAAGCACCTCCTATCTTTGGTATATGAACTGAGATCAAGTAGGACACCTGGACTTCTATATCAGTAACAAAATGGTGCCCTTCTCCCACTCCACCATTCCCTTGCTGGAGTAGTGTTAGAGAAAGGCTGTTAAAAGAAGTTTAAATAAGACCCAGAGTCTCCTAACATAATACAAAAACATCCAGGCTTCCACCAAAACATCACTTGTCATACTAAGAAACAGAAGGAACTCACACTGAATTTATTTATGTATTTACATATTTATTTAAAAATGTTTTATTTACTTACTTTTGAGAGAGCGAGAGCTAGGGGGGAAGGGGCAGAGGGAGGGAGACAGAGAATTCCAAGCAGGCTCCCCACTGACAACAGACAGCCCAATGTGGGGCTTGAACTCATGAACTGTGAGATCATGACCTGAGCCAAAGCCGGAAGCTTATTCGACTGAGCCACCCAGGTGCCTCACACACACTCTTATCATATGATCCAGCACTGTGCTCCTTGGTTTTACCTAAAGGAGTTGAAAACATGTCCACACAAACCCGCACATGGATTCCAGCTTTATTCGTAATTGCCTAAACTTGGAAGCAACCAAGGTGTTCTTCAGCAGGTAAGTGGATAAATCGACTCTGGTACATCTGAACAATGGAATATTATTCAGCAATAGAAGGAAATGAGCTATCAAACTATGAAGAGACATGAAGGAAATTTAAATGCATATTACTAAGTGAAAGAAGCCAATCTAAAAAGGTTACATACTGTATGATTCCAACTATATGACATACAACTTAAGTACAGGGAACTTTAAGGGCAGCAAAACTTTTTTTTAAACATATTTATTTTGAGAGAGAGAGAGTATGCATACACGTATGTGAATTGGTGAGGGGCAGAGAGCGAGGCAGAAAGAGAGAATCCCAAGCAGGCTCCACACTATCAGTGCAGAGCCCAATGCGGGGCTTGATCCCATGAACCGTGAGATCATGGCCTGGGCCAAAATCAAGAGTCAGATGCTTAACCAACTGATCCACCCAGGCACTGCATGGCAGTAAGACTTCTATATGATACTCTAATGGTAAATATATGTCATTATATATTTATCAAAACTCATAGACATATAATGCCAAGAGTGAACTCCAATGTAAGCTATGGACTTTGTGTAATAATGGTGTGTCAATATTGGTTCATCAGTTGTAACAATGTGGGGAGTGTAGATGGTAGGAGAGGCTATGAGTGGATGGGGGAAAGGGTTATGTAGGAACGCTACACGTTCCACTCAATTTTGCTATGAGCCTAAAACTCTAAACCTTTGGACCTGAAAGCTCTAAAAAATAAAATCTATTTAAAAATTGGACTTACAGAGCTCTTTAGTTATGGAATTACAGAGCTTTCTCCTGAACCCTGGAAAGAAAAGCTTTTTTTTTCCCCATTGGACGCGACTCTTCACATGCACTTTGAAATGTGTGAGATTGCTTCCTTTAAGTTGTATATACTCAACAATACATACACAAGGTGAAACCAACAGAACTAATCAATGTCAAGTCTTCAAAATAAGTTTCACTCATATGTGAAAATTTGAGAAACTTAACAGATGAACATAGGGGAAGGGAGGGGAAAATAAGATAAAACAGAGAGGAAAACCCTAAGAGACTCTTAAACACATAGAACAAAATGAGGGTAGATGGGGGGAGTGTTAAGTGGGTGATGGGCATTAAGGAGAGCACTTTTGGGGATGAGCACTGTGTCACATGTAAGAGATAAACCACTGGGTTTTACTCCTGAAGCTGAGGCTGCACTGTATGTTAACTAACTTGAGAATAAACAACAACAATGAACTTAGAGACCATATGATTCAGTGATTTCCAAGCTTTTGGCACAATTCGACCTTTAAAATCTTTTTTATGTGAAACCTTAAATGGAAACGTCATAAACAAAGAGATGAAGGTTGAGGTGCTCTGGGGTGAACGAGCTAAAGCCCTCCCAGTTTGGCTGCCTTTTGCCTCAGTGGACACCTGGAAAGCATTTCCATGACTTAGAGGCTACTGATTCTGCCTGAGATTCTCATTTTGCTGAGAGGAGATATGGCTTGCCCCAGGTTATCCACCAGCCTGGTTGAGCTTTGGTCTTTTGACTATCAGGCCAGAGCTTTCTCTGCTCTGCTTACTCTGATTCAAATGGAGGTTTCCACAGCCCAGGTTAACATATGCTGGAAGACAAATTCGGACTCAGGTGTGAGAGCTGGGGGAAGATGATAAGGGGACACAGGACAGTAGATTCAGAAAGAAGATACCCAAATCCTACATAAGTCACAAAGACTGGTGTCTGCACACAGTAAAACCTTGGTTTGCGAGCATAATTCATTCTGATAACATGCTTGTAATCCAAAGCATTTGTATATTAAAACAAATTTCTCCATAAGAAATAATGGAAACTCAGGTGATTCATTCCACAACCCCAAAATATTCATATAAAAATGAGTACAATACTGTAATATAACACAAAATAATAAAATACAAAATATAAAGAAAAATAAATTAACCTGCCCTTACCTTTGAAAACTTTTCTGGCTGGTCTGAGGGAGACAAGAGAGGAGGATTATTACATAGGATGACTTTCATAACCACTAGCAGAATCACTGATCTCTATTGGCTCAATGGAATCTTTTTCTTTTCATGCAACTTTAATAAGGAACCTATCCAATGACACTTGCTTTTGCCTCCTTTTTGAGGATTTCACAGAAATATAACATTGCATTGTCGTTAAACTTATTGCTCACACGGCTACAGCCTTATTTAGACGGTGCCTTTCTGCAAAATTTTGCACTGTTTCCCACATTTTACACATCTCCCCAATCTCATTTGAAGTGAGGGATTCCTGGGATGCCTGGGTGGCTCAGTCGTTAAGTGTCCGACTTCAGCTCAGGTCATTATCTCACGGTTCGTGGGTTCAAGCCCTGTGTCAGGCTCTGTGCTGACAGCCAGCTCAGAGCCTAGAGCCTGCTTCAGATTCTATATCTCCCTCTCTCTCCCTGACCCTCCCCTGTTCATGCTGTCTCTCTCTCAGAAATAAATAAAACATTTTTTTAAAAAATGAAGTGAGGGATTCCTCTGCCTTTTTCTCCTCCTTCTCTGCAAATGAGATGCAGACATGGACTTTTTTTTTTTTTTTTTTAATTTCTGAGAAAGAGAGAGAGAGAGAGAGCATGAGCAGGGAAGGGTCAGAGAGAGAGGGAGACACAGAATCTGAAACAGGCTCCAGGCTCTGAGCTAGCTGTCAACACAGAGCCCAAAGCAGGGCTCAAACGCATGAACCGTGAGATCATGACCTGAGCTGAAGTCAGACGCTTAACCGACTGAGCCACCCAGGCACCCCAGGAAATCTCCATGATTTCCTTCTTAACCTCCACCGCAATCATCTCTTTCTTACTGACTTTCTTTTCAACCTTTTTCTGTATGGGAGCCATTGTATATGCTCACAGGGATATTGACTACAGTACAGTATTAATAAACTCTTGTCATAAATTGTATTTAATGTGACTGGCAATAAGACAGCAGAGGAAAGGGTCTCTATCTGCAGGCAGCCTGACCTAGAATGAAGCAAAGCATTCCTAACCTTACTCTTGTACAGAAAAGCAAAGGACTGTCCATAGGTTCTTTGAAATGTCAGAAAATACATTAGTGCCAGTTGTGGGCACCTTCTAACACTCTGAAAAATCACTGATTTCTGCCAAACACCGTGGCCTGAGAACAAGCATCTGTGCATGGGAGACAATCATCCACAATCCCACAGAGACAGAGACAGAGAGACAGGAGAATCATTGGCTCAGTTGTGATCATGTGATGTTCAGCATCACATACTACTTGTATTACAAGACAATTTATCATTTATCAAGTTGAAATTTATGAGAAATATTTGCTCATCTTGCGGAACACTTGCAGAACAAGTTACTCACAATCCAAGGTTTTACTATACAGGATCCCATGGGGGTCTGAAATAATAAAATCTGTATCTGTCTTTCAGAGGCCCAAGGTTCTAAGAGAAGTTTGTTTTGGACTTGAAAAATGTAGAATCAAGTGGATAAAGACCTTCTCAGGTAACTGCAGAGAAGCAGCTTCTGGGCTTGTAGTGGGTTGAACCACTATCCCTGCAGCCTCTAGGACAATAGCTGCCATTTAGTAGATGAGCAATATTTAATAGAGAATGAACAAATTTATTAGAATGCAAATGCATCATTAAACTCTAAAAATCTGTCTAAGAGCGTATTGCCACCCAGGACTTTAGGAAAATAATTCCAATCTTTGAATGATAGAACCCCACAGAAAGACCTCTCCTCTTTAAAATAATAGCATGTGAACTACTGATCCTGTCTTTATTTAAAAATATAATATTTTATCCATCATGGATTTTTGCCTTAATTTTTTATCCCGAAAATGTACTGCGTTTAAATATTATTTACCTTGATTATTGAGTGTTGCTCCTCTTCCTTAATTTTGCATCTGAGGCAAGTGCCTCACACCTAACCCTAGTCCCTATCCTGATAGGAAGTAATATCAAAAGCAGGCAGTTTATGGAGCACCTGAGTGGCTCAGCTGGTTAAACGTCTGACTCATGATTTCGGCCCCGGTCATGATCTCATGAACCGTGCAATGGAGCTCCACGTCAGTTCCATACTGGGCATGGAGCCTTCCCAGGAATCTCTCTCCACTCCTCCCCCTGCCTCAAAAAAAAAAAAAAAAAAAAAAAAAGCACCCATCAGGCAGCTTGTAATTATATACACTTGCCATTCGGAAGACATGGAGTTTTTCTTCTCTCTTCTGCTTTTGTTCAATATTCATCTTTCAATAGAAATATATTTAGCCCTGGCTATGTGGGAGACAATGCTGGAAATGTCATAGCTGATGCCAGAAAAATCAGGAACTAAGCTCTCACCACATAAATAGAGCAGGTGGGTAATTACAACTTAAGGTAGAGAAGTGTGGTAAGTACAGAGAAGAGGCTGTAAGAGGGTACAGAGATCATTTTTATTTGGGCGAACCTAGAGAAGCCTTCGGGAGAAGGGCACTTTTGAGATGGACCTTAAATGGGTTGGATATAGCCCAGATTCTTCGAGGAGTGTGCAGGAAATAAATTAAGCAACCAATGAAAGGGGTAGACTTTGTGATGATTGAAAAACAGTTACAATAATGGCAGGGCTATTTTTTCTTTGGTG